TTGATGTAAAATTTCATCGATTAGTTAGATCAATGATAATTTTATAGCTATTAATATAGCAAGAATTGATGAGCCACATAGCATGCCTTATCATTTATTACACCGCAAGAATAAAAATAAACGATTATATTATTTTTGGTAATTTATATTAAATTGATAGTTAAGTATAAATATATTTAATCTATTCTATTTTTAATAAAATGTGAAGTTGTTTTTTTTGTATACATGTTAATTAAATATGTATACCCTACAGAGTATGATATTATCGTTTAACATGTCACTAAATAAAATTATATATAATTATTAATGCTTGGTGCAAGTTTGTGCATGGGGTATATATTTTGCAAACACGTTATATTCATGAATACTAATAAAATATTTTCAAATATTTGAAATTACTTATTATATTATATCTAATCAAAATTCATAAGGGTTATGTATTAATATAAAATTATTAATTATTCTAATTATGTAAGTCATTAACTTATACAAATATATACTGCACATAAAACAAACATGTTTTTTTATTGGATAATGCATATATAATTTTAAATATAATGTTGATATTTAAAATATATTTCTGCTGATTTGCCTCTGTTCAATTTCAATTTTAGGTATATAGGAAAGCATAATACTCACATAATAGGTTGAGATGCAGAATAAAGGGCATAAATAAAATGCCATGTGATTGTTAAAATATAACTAAGATCTCAAATATTAACTCATGATTTTTGTTATGAGTAAAACAAACATCCACATAATATTTTTATTATCTATTTTACTACATTTGATGATAGTTCTTCCTTTCTCGATGTTTTATTAAATTACATAAAATAGTAGTTCATAGCACAAATATTAATAACATAAATTACTTTTATATATTATACTCACAGATAATAACATAATTACTCAGTTATATTTTAATATAAGTAATTTGATTCAAAAACCAGCATTTGTCTATTACAGTATGGTAGAATTCAAAATCGTTAACGAAAAATTGATTACAAGTGGCGTATAGAAAATCAAAAGTGGAAGATTAATTAATGAATAATTTTTATTACCTGCAAATATATATGTGGCTATATGAATGTAATATAAAATACTAGTATAAATTATACAACCTAATTATGTAAAATGAAGAGTTTTATATTAAATAACATCAATAATATGAATAGAAAGGATGAAATATTTAATACAATCCAATGATATTATAATAAATCTATCATGAATTAAAATATAGTTCTAAATTACAAGAAATATTAATATAAAAAAGAATTTTACGGAAGATTCTATAATTATATAAAAGTATGAAATATAGCTAAGGATATATTATATGGAAAATTGTTAATAAATATTAAAGGAACAACAAACTAAATATTATCTCTTAATATATTATGATATAAATGAAAATTTCAGGAAATGTGTTTTTAGTATGATATTTATTTTTTTATGTACTATTCAAATATAATAGTTTCATATATATATTTTGCACCTTCATAATTTAGCATGTATACATTAATATATAAATTATATTTTTACATGGCTTTCTATATATTATCATGTTTATATTATTTATATTAAGATAGAGTTTAATAATAGTAACATAGAAATTTTCATTATTTAAATTAATTCTCTATTTAACGACTTTTTTTATCATATGTACAAATAAAAATATTAAAATTAGACGACGTTCAAATAGGATAAAAATTTATTAATACATGGAAAATAAAATAACAATAGTTATTATAATTAAAAAATAATTTACATATATGTTTCTTCTATATAGAGCATCAATAAGGCAGGTTAAATTTTCATGCTTAAATAAAGTAATATATATATGAGTGTGAAAATTATATCCTTTTATATTATTTCCACAGAATGAAGGATTAAAATTATATTTCCCATGTTTTTTTATATATTATATTATTAATATATTAATAAGGGATATAATGATTTATTATTTTATGCATTTTTTAGTAAATTTATTGCTTATACATTTGGGGAATTTAATAATATATAAAACATTACTTTATAAATGTGATATATAATACCTATTTTTTTAATTATGAAATAGTAATTTCATCACATATATATTCTTTTATTATAGGAAATTAATGTTTTGCAATAATACATTAATTTGAACTTTATCAATCATGTTATTTTAATAAATTCTTAATCATGTATATCTTGATTATATAAATAAATTATTCATACATATATTATAAAATGTATATATAATTAACAATATATGAGTGAACATTTTGAATTATATAAGTTAAATAATAAATAATATAGCATGTGTAGAGTAAAGGATTAAAATATATATAGTCTCATATAATTCTTAATTGAAAAAAAATTATAATATATTTTCTGAAACTTACAATTTATATATTATTTATTAATATCGCATTATAAATATATATAATAAAAGAATTATTATCCCAAGCATATCATTCATTTAATAATTATATAAACCTTATATTTAATTTTTATATAAGATTTTGTGGAGTCAATAATGAGAACACAGTTAATATGAGGCATTCTTATTTTTTAATAATCATTTAATGTAATACAAGAATTTTCATAATACAATAAATATTCAGTAAATTATATTCAATAAATAATCAATAAAGCATTAACGTCTATGTTATTATATACATATGCATACACAGGTATACATATTTCATAATTTCCTATATATCACTGTTAAGATAATTATTTTATTATCTCGAGAATGAGTATTTAAATTTATTAAAATGAATAAACAGGATAAAAAGAAAAATAAAATAATTATACAAAATATAATGACGTATAATTTTTCATTATAACCTAATTATTTTATTAAAACATAGCATTATTTAACGAATAAAATAATAATTCTTTAAATGTATGAATAATATGTTAGAATATTATAAAATATAAAAGTCTACTTTTTAATTATTCTTATTTGTGTAATGTATATCAATGTAATTGTAATATTATATAATATAAATCATTAAAAAAATCATTTAAAAGTAAATATATATATATTAAATTAAAATATTTATTTACAAAATGACATATACTCATATAAATATATAATTAATAAATGACATTTACTATATTTATTTATATTCTAATAAATGCATATATTTTAATTTTTTCTTTTGTTATGTTTTTATATAAAAATATAATGAAAATACTCATAGGTCGAAAGTAATTGGTTAAAAAAATGCAATTTGTATATATATGAAATAATAAATAACAATGATTTACATGTAGAAATAAGAATAGTAAACTTCCTATGATCAAACGATATATTTAAACTAATGTATTGTATCGTAAAAACCTTATACACATAATTTATAAATTTATTAAAGACATATAAATATATATATCTTAATAATTAATATATTACATTAAAGAAACTATATAATTTGTTATATCATACGAAATTACCATTAAAACTGTGTTATATATATAATATTATTAAAATTATATGTTTTACTTTAATGTTACAATGTGTGCCATAGGATATGCAATTATTATTTAAAAAAAAATGAAGGCCCTCTACGGAACAAATAATAATAATATAGTTCAAAATATATGAATAATTTATATAATATATGATTATTATATGAATTATATAATTAGAATAATTTTATTAATTAGAACACATGATATAAATATATAATTAATTCTGATATTTTTATTAAATGAACATTTATCATGAAATGTATAGAAACCTTTATATATTAATAAAGACACATAAAATATAATGAGCGAAAAAATAACGGATAGTATATATGTATTATTCAATTTTTTATTAAAATTACAATTTATAAAATTAATTTTAAAATACCTTGATTGTTGTAAACTCGGCATAACAATTTTCCTTAAAATTTTTTAATATTTATTGTATATATTATAATTTTTACTTTTAGTTCAACTTTAATAGTATATTTCCCAAATGTACAGAGGGATTCATGTGGAGATCACATCTTCATTTTAGTAAACCTAATTATCATAATTTCACGCAGTTGTGTAGTAAGTTTCACAATGAAGTAACAAGTATAGAATCTAATTCTAATCCATTTATTCAAAATTGCCAAGTTCTTAGTCTGTATTTAGACCATATCATAAGCAATATAAATACGGATAATGAAGAAGCATGTTGTAAATACTTCTATTATAGACTAAGAAATGATATAATAAGAAAACCTCATTGTAAGTGTAATGGATCTAAGGAATGTTATGAAAAAATAATAAAACAAAAGGGAAATAGTTTCAATACAACAATATCTGATGTATGCATGAAGCATTTGATTGATTTCGACAATGGCACATTTAATATGATGGAAAAACTTGATTATATGTATGATAAATTTAACGAATTTAATAAAGAACATAATCCAACTTATCAAAGAATTCAAGAATTCATAAGTATTTTAGAAAACCTAGATAATTCCTATAATAAATATAACGAAAGTTTTCTATTAGTACTAAAAAAGGCTAATCAAGCTTATATAGAGTTTGTGGGTACCTTGAGTGTTGGTGATTGGAATAAAAAAACCATATTAGGATATCTCATTGATAAAGGAAAAGATAAAGGCATATTAAAAGTAGTTCATGGAATAGAAGAAAATGAAGTAGTTACAGCAAGAGCGACACAAGCACATGCTAAAAAATATAATGATACAGATATTGGTGCAGATTCTACTACAGGAATAGTCTTTTTATACTTTTCCATATTTGTAATTGTATATATATTATATAAGGTTAAAAATAATTTTAATAAAAAAAAATTTATTTTCTATTATTATTTATCATTAAAATAATTTAAAATTATTTATATAAAATTAATGAAGAACAAATTAGAATATTATTTAATTCATTTTTCATTATACTCCGAATTTTTCATTTTTACAATCAAGGTTAAGGAAATTAAGAAGAGTGTTGAAAAAAAATAATAAAAAAAATCTGGACCTTTTGGGTACATTTAATGTTGAATACAAAAATTCCATTGGTTGTGGACATAAAATATCATATATCTCAGTTAATTGCAGGTTCTAAAAGTTTAAACTTAGTTGGCAAGGTCAATTTAGTATATTTTAAAAAAAAAACAATAAAATAACTGATTTCTTGTAGAAAATAAATTTATTTATATAAATATTAATACTATGATAAAATAATACAAACAAAACCCCATGCGTTTTAAATAACAATTATTTATGGAATTAAAATATTGAATTAATACTACGAGATGAACTATGTATACATTAACTATAAAAAAGAGAATAGAAAATAATTTAAAAATACATATTAAAAATAAAGTTGGAATGATAATTAAATATAATACATTAACAATCACCATTAAATAATATATCATATAAGCAATAATTCTATATTCACTATAATTTTAACAGAAAAATATGCTACTTATTTAAAAAAAATATAATAAATGGAACATGGTTTTGCATAATATAAAATTTTATCTAAAGGAAAGTTTAATATAGTTAGTTAAATTAAATGAATAACTTAAATAATTCTACTTTAAAAATCTCAATATGTACTAATTCTATAAAATAGAATGAGTTATAAAACCTTACAATTAATCTCTAATAAAATATATATGTGTATATTTAAATATTATGTAAAACATTAAGATAAATATACTCAATATTATATTATATATATATATGCATTAAAAAACTTATAACTTTATAGTAATACATTTGAAACATAGGCTTAGAACTAAGCACAAAATTCATATATTGCCATTATAATACGCAGTTAAACATATTTTATATTAATTGAGATTACATCACATAACTATTTTAATTAAACAAGAATATAATAGGATGTATTTTTAAAAATACATGACATGTTTTATGCTTAAAGTTTTTTTTAAGTATACATGAGTTTATTTATTTTAGTATATAATATATTTTTAAATATATTGCATATCTAGAATAATATTTCTAATTACTTCAAAAATTATTGACGGCATGTTTATATTTATTTATGCTTTATATAGTACGAACTCATGAGAATAAGTATATATATTAAAATAAATTATATTTTGTTTGCGTAAATCGTGTTTTCTATGTAGTAATCATGTAAATATATATACCATTGATTCAAAAAATTATGGAATGCTTTTTATACAATGCTAAGCTTTGAAAATGATATAAACAAACATAATATATATATATACTGTGCTTTGGGGTATTATAAATTAATTTTTATTACATTGATGAATTATTTCTTTTATGTATTCATAGAAAAAAAAGAAAAGTTCTTGAGGAATATATAAGTGTTAGAATATAATAAAAAAGAACTACATTAGAGTTTTTAAATGATGCAAATAAAACCATTTTGAATTAATTTTATATAAATTAATAATATAATGCACCAGATTTACTTCTCAAATATATTCATATATATGTATTATATTTAATTAATTTACTTGTAATAATTGCTTTTCATCTTACCACTTGGTTTGATATATTATTTTTGTGTTTGATAATTCACAAATTTTTTGTGTTAATTTTTGTTTTTACAAATACTTAAAATGTTTACATTTATATGTTTTGACACGTCTCCATTAGAGATATATAAAATATATATTACATACAAAAATAACAGAAAAAGGTTATTTTCATCATTAAAAATTTTCTTTTAAATTATCTATATAACTATAAACTTAAAAAATCTATTTTATTCTATAAATTTAAAAAAGTTTTTTAAAAATCATTATAGTGATACAATGTAAATATATAAATATCACATAATTTTATTATTATTGACACACAATAATGTATCATTGTGTAATTATTATTTAATATATTGAAAAACGTTTTTAAATTTTTAATATAATTATTTTGTTCTATATTTCTTGCAGTATCGATTTCATTAGACGTAGATAAATATCATATGCAAAAATTTCATACATTCCTGTTTTAATATGGGAATAATTTTTTTTTTAGAAACTAATAATAAATAAATGTATAGGTCTGATATATTTTTATTACCAATAAATTAATATCTTCTCAGTCTCACTAAATATTGCATGGTTATATATTCACATATTAGTTTATATATTATAATACAATTTAGAATAATTTTTTAATGATAAATAGGTTATACTGTACAATTTTTGTATTTTCCTATATTATATTTTATTAAATATAATTTTATTTTTTTTTAATTAGATATAATAGAAACTTATTTTTTTTCAAAATATTATTTTATAAAATATATTAGTATATATTGACTATATCAACGAAGGGATAATTATTTTAATGTAATGTCTAACAATTATAAATACGCTTATTTCATTAAATTATGAAATGTATAATATTTAGAAATGTAGTTCGTTTACATGAAATGTATTCAATATCATTATTCCATACATTAATTTGAATTATATAAATTTTATAAATTAATTTATTATTTTTCCCCTTTTTTAAAGCATTTATATTTGTATAATTTTTAATTTTCATTCAAATATATGGTATTTAAATTTTGACATATTTTTATAAAAAAATATAATCTGTATTCATTAAATACACTTTTATATTTTACTAGTATTCTACAGTGTTGTATAATACTGCATAATTTTATCAATTTAATTTTTTTATTCTGTTTAAAATGAGTCACTAAATTTAAATGCTTCATTATTTTTTTTTTTTTTTTTTGTAAAAATACTTCAGCTTTTTTATAATTGGATGTAAGTACTATCCAAAATGTGTATACTGAAAATGAAGAAATCACGTTATATTTTTATGCATATTGCATTTATATGATAATTACATAAAAGTGTTGGTTATAAATCGTAATATCATAAAATTTGTATAAAGTTAATATATAATTAACAATATAAAAAAAAAATATTAATATAGATACGATTACACCTTATTAAACTAGAAAAGCCTTTTGTATATATCTTGAATATTAAGAATCTAAAATCTTTCCAGAATTTAAACATTCTTTCCTTATCTATACGTGCTCATTATATTGAGATATGTATTTTCCCTGTACAACATGTAATCTCTTGTTATTTACTTTTTGACTTATTGTTAAAAGTTCGATATAATTTTCATAACAAGTGACAACATTTTCGCATGTATGTCGGGAAGTCTTTAAGAATATAAAATTACTATATAAACCACTTAGCTTATTCATTATATAAATGGTTCCTTATTCATGATCAAAAACGTGACCATTAAATATATTTAATACATTATCCTGTTCATGAACTTTGACACTTTTCATTAATTTGTAAAATTATTTTTCCTTAAAAAAAAGGAGGCTTCATAATTTTTAGACTATTACTCAGTTTATATATGAAATATTTACATGATGCTTCTATTTTATTAATTCTATTGATTTTTATGTGTTCTAAATAGAGGATTTGATATTGGAAATCAAAAATAGATGTATTATAAGACTTCGCTACATTCTTATATACCTCTTCGTACAGTGTTAAATAATGTTTACCTTTTATATACATATAAACTTCTGATGACACATAATAATAATCTACAGATAATAGAAAAATAATATTGAAATCAAATTGAACATATTGGTTATAATGTTAAAATAAATTTAAATTCATACTATAATATATAAATCATACACATAGTATTCATATAGCATGGTATTTGGAAAATAGGAAGCATTAATTATAATCACAATGAAAAATAATAACTTACGTTTTTGTTCACATATATCAAATTATTAATGTTTAAGACATACTAATTTATTCAAAGAAAAATTTATTCGTTATTTTTTTATAAATAATTATATCCCATAATTATCAAAACAAATGTTATATTTATATATTGCATGTTAATTATTGTATCCATAAACTTTTTACATTTTCTTGGAAACATAGTTTATATTAAGTATTTATAAGTATATAAATATGACACTATTGTAGTTTCTAGGTTGATTTTATTTTATATATAAATAGTATGAAAAATTTATATAAATATTTATATAATAGAATTAATATGTAATCATTACTAATGAATTATTTTTACACATATAAAACTTAATATATTAGTTATCCTCTATAATAATTTTAAGTGGGTTGCACACGTATTAAGAATTCTCATGATATATTTTGCATATACTCTTTATATTCCATTTAAAATAGAGATAAATATATATATAATATATAAAACATCCTTATTTACATGATTATAGAGTTTTTGGTAATTTTTTATTTATAACATATTATTTAAATTTCCTTTATATCTTACTCAAAATAAAAGATATATTTACTAAAATAAATAATTATTAATTTTTTCAAATTTTTAAAATTCAAGGTAATTAAATGCTTAATAATAAATATACTATTAATGAATAAATATTATTTTCTTATAATTTATGTTAATTATAATGGACATCATACCTTAACCAAAGTTTTTAATAATGATGCACTGCACATACAGTTCTAGCAATTATGTTCTTTACATAATATATTATTCAACTTTCGTTATTACTGCAAAAATAATAATTATATTCATAATTTATACTATTCATTATTACTCAAATATAGCACAATTGTTGATTAGCAAAAAAAATGTTAAACTATCGAAAATTTGTAGGAATCATTTACGTTTTGTGTAATATAAACCTAACATATAATTTTGTAGATTTAATAAATGTATTATCAATTTCATATTAAGGAGTGTGTATACATTACCTAGTGCTAACATATATTAAAAAAAAGAAATTGAAAATTTTTATTTATTCATTTCTTATATAATTCAAATAATTATTTATTTATATACATGATATTTTTTGAATTTTATATAAAATATTGTTATAAAAAACAATCTTTATAATACCATGGAGTTCTTTGGTAATCATTGAATATTTAATTTTAAAAAATTTTTAATAATCAAAAATTGTAATACATTATTTTTTTATGTGACTCATCTACTATATAATCTATATT